ATCTCTTAGTTTGGTTAACAAATTTCTACTTTCAAAAATTATAATGAAATAAAATAGTAACTACAGACATGTGTTGCATGGTACTTTGCACATAGAAACCATTGATTTTCAACTAGAGTCATGGTTACCATGCGAAGGAGGCCAGTTATTGAGTACATGGCCTAGGTTACAGCAGACCTTAGAAATCTAAAGTACCTTTGTGCTCCTTCCCATGGGGAGCATCAAAGGGGAATCAGCCTAATGTTCAGGAGTGCATTTGGTTTTACTTGAAGTTCATGTTTGTGCACATACCAAAAGGTAATTTTTGGTAAATTCCAACTTTTTCCCTATTCACCTATTTTCATTTCCCCTTTTCCGTTGTTATCTTCCAGCCCAATAAAGCTGGTCTGTGAACCCGACAGTGCAGTTACGGAAATCAGCTCAGTCTCCTTGACGTGCCCAGGTGCTGTGTCACAGGCGGTGCCTCCCTCATGCATAAGCAGCGCCGCTAATCATTCCGCTTTAAGAAATAATGTGGCATGTCAGGACACGAAACCTGGGGCCACTGCCTTTATTTAATTAGGCAAGAGTGGATTTGCACGTGCCTGTGCATAAAAAGTAATCGCTTAATGTAATTGAATATTGGTTCTTGGCATTCCCTTCTCCCAGTGAGGCAACATCTAGAAAGATCAAAAATGGTTTATTCTAGTACAGCGTGTGCAAGAGGGCACAGAGTGTGTGCCATGCTGCTTCTACATTATAAGTTGCATTCTTAGACCCAGTTCACAGGCCCTGTAATTCTCTTCTATTAAAATCATCTTTAAAAAATCAGGCAGCAGGGTTTTATGGTGTATGGTGTATGGTATTTCACAGAGCATACTGTGAAATCGCCTCTGCCCCATGAGCTACATTCATTTCCTGCATGTGTTCCTTTCCTGTTGAGGTCAGGATCTGAGTTTTGTGACGCTGATCTAGGACTTTTGGGTCTGAGGGGATGGGAGGCCTGGGTGCTGAGGAGAGTTAGTCATCCCCCTCACCTCCTATACACACGCACACATGCACGCACATGCTGTGTGCACGCAGCTACCGCCCATCCTAGCTGAACCCTAAGCCCCGCCAGGGAACATGGCCTTCTTTTCTGAGGCAGACACTGAAGTTTCTGCTACGTTGGGCAGGGTCCTTTGCCCTGTGAGCAGGAGATATTAACACGGGATCCATGTGGAGTTGGGGTTTGGGGGTGGGGGCTGTGAATCCCCTAGAATTATTTTCGAGAAAGAGGGTCTTTGGCCACATTTTTGTGTGTTTATGATCCAGAAAAGGTTAAGAAACCAATCTGTTCTAGCTTTGCTCTGACCCTTTGAGACCAAAGAGTGGTGGAAGGGAGTTGGTCTTGGGAGTCAGATGGGTTTGGGTTTGAATGGTCTCCAAGAGGTTTTAGCTGTGTGGCCTTAACAGGACCAGACAGGCTACAGAACCATTTTGAGCCCCCATTTTCTCAAATGTAAAACAAGGTTGAAAATACCTATGTTAAGGTTATATTGATAGGTAGACTAAAAAAAGAAATGCTAAATGTTAGTTTTCTTTTCTCTCTTTTATCTCATGAATAAAATGAAAGCAACTGTCTGTTCTGTCTTATTCCTTGCCAGATCTTCTTGAGCACCCATCATGCATTGCCCACAGTAGGCACTCAAATGTTGGCTGAATGGCTGGCTGGGTGGTGGAGTGGGCACCTTAGTGCGGTGACCAGAAGGAACCTCTCCGCCTGCTTCTTCAAAGCGCTTATTTCCTGAGAGAAAGCTAGGGGCTATGACTGGTTTTGCTAAGACAGCCCTCCCAAGAGGGTTCGCCCCACATCCTTTCTGGATACCATGGCAAGTCTGTTTCATTTTTTCCGTAAAATAAAAGACACGTTTTCATTTTCACTAGTACCTTTATTGATTTGGATAGTTGGAGTATGTCTCCTGCATGGTATAACATTGATCATTCTCAGTTAATGTGTTGATTTGATTGCTGTCAACTTCAACTGGTCTACCCGACTGTGGAGAAATGTCCAGCAAGAAATCACCAGCACAAAACTTCACAAACCACTTTTGGCACATGCAGTCAGTCGTAGCACCTTCTCCGCACACCACACACATATTTTATGTGTTTCAGTTGCGTTTTCACCTGTCTTGAAATAATAAAACATTGTATGACAAAAATGTTGGAAATTTTCTCCCACCTTTAGTATTAAAACAACTACACAAAAATTCACCAGTTTTGATAAGGTTTTTGAAATGCATGCTGATGACAGCTGTTGCAATACAATCTAGCAGTTGTTTCAAATGAAGTTAAAGAAAACTAAGTGCTACTAGAGTCATCTTATGGAATAAACCAAACACTCTTTGACTAACCCAATATTTATTATCTGCATCTTTGTGGAAAAAGTTTGCCAACCCTGGATATATATTATCCACACTGCTTACTAAACTGCAGATTTGGCCATAAGATATCCTTTCTGTGGATTGAAAAGCTAAGACCAAAGAGTTAAAGATTGTGACTGAGATTGCATCACTTGTAAGTGGTAGGATTTGAATTCAGGTCTGCGTGATTCTACAGCCCCTGTTTTTTTTCCACTAAATACCCATACATTTTAACTCAGCCAATACCTAGTTGACTCCAGTACATCTTCCAGTCCTGCCTGGTGACCATGGCTGGCACAGGGAGCAATTCAGTGATGTGCCCTGGAATCATGGTGCAACCTGGCAGTCCTGGCATTGGTCCACAACCTGGTGCAGGTCTGCAGTATAAATCGTGTGAATGTACAAACAAACAGGTGAGAGAGTGGAATGAGGGTTTCAAGGACTAAGTTGCAGATGGCAGTGACGTGGGTATGCACCTGTTTATATGCAGACATAGTGCTGCTTTCCAAGGGTTAGGGAGGCTCAGCATTTCCAGGGGTGTTCTTTTTGCCACTGAACATGGTTTCTCCTCTTGTTGGATGCCCCTTGGTGAGTGATATGTACTATTCATGCATTTTCAGCACATAGCCACGCAACAGATATTTTCCCTCCTCCTGGCTATGAGACCACAGGAGGTTTGGACCTCCACACTTGCTCACTGGTACTGTGCCCGCATTGGCAGGTGTGACTCCATCTAAATTGGAGATGGAAGTTCTCTCACAGTAGATGAATCCTGGTGGAAATTGGACTGTTTTGAGTGTTTGCAGATGAAGTTCTATGGTTCTTCTGTTGGTACTCCTTCTGCCCATTATTCCCACTTCTCACCCTACTTCATCCTTCCAATGAGTTTTTCCAAGCTTATAAACTGGTTACAATTAAATAAAAGAAGTAACACTGGAAAAATCAGCTATTCCTGCTGGGATTGACTGCAGAGTAGTGTTTGCCTTGTAAATGTTACAAGCTGATGATAATAACAGCGACTCAGATAACCACCACCCAAGTGGAAGTAGCACAGTTGGGTAATTTATTCATTGGTCAAAGGATGTATCTAATGAAAAAACAGCTTTAGTGTTAATCAGTTGTCATATAACAGTGGGTGCTGTAACAACTGGTTAGTGAGGGGAGAGGTGGGAAGGGTTAGGAATGCGAATGCTCTTTGCAAGTGAGTCTGTTTTTGTCCTTTGTGAGCAGCATTAGGGAGTGTCTGTGATTCTCACTTCATCTCCCGTGGACTGCCGACAGAGGAGTCCGTGGAAAAGCGGCAGAGCTGCAGGGTGGACAGGAAGGAGTCAGGGCTATAATTAACTTGTGTGCTCTGCACCAGCGACCCTTATTTCTCCAAAGATGAGATTCTGTCGCCTTACCCTGTGGCTTTCACACCCTCTAAGGTCACGACTCTCTCAGTGTATGGTGAAAATATGAAACAGATAACAATGCAGCTGCTCTGGCTTCAGTGGGGATGGAAGCACCCGGTAGAATTAAGTAACATTTCATTTGTTGTGCCAGTGTTACTCCATGGGGAAATAATGGATGATTAAAATTCTTGATTTGTTGTTTAATTATTTAGAGCGAATGCTTCCAACAGATTTGTTTGTCTTTGTAGTCCTTTTGGTTTATTGCTCACGTGCTTTAGTGTCCGGTTATTTTCTTTAAGTTTTAAAATAGCCCAGTAGCTCTCCATGCATTTTGTTTGTTTCTTCTTCCATGATACCAGGTATTTATCATTGGTCAAAGCTATGGATGAATCATTTGTATTTCTGTCTTGAAAATGTGTTTATTAAGAATCCATCCAAAAATTGTGGGAGGGGATAATGGGGGAAAAAGAGGGAAGGGTTTTAGGAACAACTATGAAGGACACATGGACAAAATCATGGGGTGGGGGGCGGTGGGTTCCGGGGAGGGAGGTGGGGATGGCTGGGGTGGGGGGGTGGGAAATGGAGACAAATGTACTTGAACAACAATAAAAAAATATAAATATAAATAATAAATGATAAAAAAGAATCAATCTGAATATTCAGATAGACCTGTTACTGGAGACTCAAGAGAACACTTTAAAAATTATAAATGACTATGGGGCATTTTGACTTGGAGAGAAATGGACAGTTACTAGAATTTCTGTTTGTGTCGATGAGGCAAGGTGGTGGGGTCACTTCCTAGGTGAGGGAGAGGAATGAGCGAGGCATGGAAATCCGTCTAAACAGCGTGCCCTGGAGGTGCCCATCCCAGGTATGTGGGTACGAGCAGTTCTGTTAATCTGGGAAAGAGCAGGACATGTTCATGGTCTGGTCAGCATCCCGTCATGTAGTAATCGGTACCCCAAAACAGCCCTTTGAGAGTCTTTGTGTTTCTTCTTCCTGGAGCCATACTAAGAAGGCGAGCTTCTGCAATGCTGTCATTTCTGCACAACTTTTGTTTTTTGCTGTGTGGGTTTTTAAACTCATGTGCATTTTCATAACTGGTTATATAGTGTTTGTATTTTATATGTGTGGCAGCATTTGGGGGGTGGGTGCATAAGGCTTCTATCACTTGGCTGCCAACTTTGCTGAGCTCACACGATGTCCTTCCTTACGTGTTTGCCAGGGAGAAATGCCTGCTGCCTCTCCAGTTGGCTTTGGAGTCCAAGAACATGAAGCTGGCCCAGCACGCCTTGGCAGGGATACAGGTATGTCTCTCACTGAGCGTACAGGGTCAGCAAGGGGAGGGACAGAAATTCACAGCCTGCTTTGGCATGGAAAGAACAAATAGTTAATATTTTAAATGCTAGCTGTTTAAAGACCCAGACAGAAATTTGATTGAACTCAGTAATAGCCATAGAGGATAACAAGATTTTTAAAAAATATTTCTCAGCATTTCTTTGTGCCTAGCATTATCTTGTTGAGCATTTGTCTTCACACACTGATTCACGGCCACCGAGCTCAGCCCACAAGACGTTACATATTTTATGTGGTGTCCAACTTTCAGGAGAAGAAGGGATTTCAAAAGAGACACCTCAATTTCCATACCCACTCAAATCTTTTATCACTCAGCATCTGTGGTTCTGTGTCATGAAAATTGATGGTAAACCTGAAGGATTTTTTTTCCTACTCTACAGTTAGGTTGGCAAATGACTCAGTGTGTTCTGTTTTCAGAGCAGGATTGGAAAGAAATAAAGAACATTGGTCTAATAAGAAAAGTTAGATGCTTGAGCACGTTTCCTTCTCTGAGCATTTGTTCATTTGTGTTTTACACATTACATGATAGACCTCATTCCAGCAGTGCCAAGGGGATAGCTGTGTCAATGCAGTGACTTTTGTAAGTGGTTTGGTTTCTGAGTGACAGGCACTGTGAAGTTCAAGCCTGCGGGGGTTTATCAGCATGGCCATGGATTAGCAGCATTGTGGGACGTCTTTTCACACCAGCAAGCACAATTTCATTGTCCGCTTGCTAGGTTCCGAGAGGTCCCTAATACCTTTTGAGTTAACACGTTTGAAAAAGTAAGAATAGTAGACTTTTTTATCTGCACTAGATTGGAATTAGATAAAGTGTGTTGTAATATGCAAGGGCTTTAGAAATTTTTAAATTATTGTCCATAGTGTTATTAAAACTCTTTGCTTTTCTCCAAGGGAATTGGGCCAACCATAAAAATGAAAGGGAGGTTGTTTGGACCTGCCACTGATGTCCTTGCTCTCCAGTGTGGTTTGGATTTTCCATTTAGTTCCTTTTTTTAACCCTTCGATGCTCTAAGTTAGGGAACTGTGATTTCAAGGGCTTGCTTAATTATGGTAACATCCATGACCTGGAGGGCAATGAGCTTTCTCTTACCATTTTTGTTACTTCCCATTAACTTCAGATTAATGGGCTTTTTTTAGGGCTTCCCAGTCTTTATTACTGTAATTAACAAGAGGTTTGTGTATTAACTTTGAGTGCGGGCTGCCCTGCAGGCACTAGAGGATAGTGGAAAAGCTCTTTGGAGAAGACAGGCAAAATGTCAGAGTCCTGAGAAGGAGGTTGGCCATCCTTGTTCTCTCGGTCAGCTAAAAGAAGGAGTCATTATTCTGGATGAATCAGAAACTGAAAGTTCTTTACAGCAGTAACTCTGCACTGAATTGGCCAAGGACAGACTGGAGAGAGATACACAGAACGTCCTTCACTGGGGTCTCACAGATCAACTGTCCAGGACAGAATCGGGGGAGAACAGCTTTATTTCAGCCCTTGTGCATGTGAGTTAGGAGATTCTGCATAAGTCAGCACATCACTTACAGCCAAGCTAATGTGATCTGAGAATGTGATTAAAACTATGAACTACTGCTTGTTTTTTAGGCAATAAACACATTTAATTATTTTACAGAACTTGAATCCTAGAGGCACCCAGTTTTATTTTTGGTGAAGTAGCTCAGGGGTATCACCGAAGACCCCATTTCTTTCTGTTATTCCTCTCTGCCATTTTTTAATTTTTTATCATTTTTCAAGACTTGATTATTTTAGAGCAGTTTTAGGTTTACAAGAAAATTGAGAGGAAGGTGCAGAGATTTCCCACATACCCCTGCCCCCACACATGCATAGCCTCCCAGTCGTCAATGTCACTCACCAGAATGGTAGGGGGTTTTCCCTCCCCTCCCCTCTCCTCCCCTCCCATCTCCCCTCCCCTCCTCTCTCCTCCTTTTCTTTAACCAAGGAGGAGCCTACACTGACATGTCATACTCTCCTACAGCCCATAGTTTACCTTAGGGTGCACTACTCTTTAATGTCAGGCCACCCTTGGAGTGTCATATTCACTCTGGAGACCACATACTAAGCAGGGAAATGGGGTCTTCAGTGGCACCCCTGAGCTACTTCACCAAACGTAAAACTGCGTACCTCTAGGATTCAAGTTTTGTAAAATAATTAAATGTGTTTATTGTCTAAAAAACACAGCATCTGTGAAACTGTGTCAGTGAAGGTGCCGGACGAGGTTCAGTATGGAGAAGAAAAGACGTAACTGACTTCAGATATTCTAGAAGCGTAGTCCATGTGGCTCCAGGGAATGATGAGGGAGTTGTAAGCAGGCGGGTTGGGTACAGTCTAAGAATTTCATGAAAAGAACGAGTTGTCCTGAAAGGGGAAAGGGCTGTCCTGTGAGGGGTGATGACCCCTGGGAAACCTCATGCAAGTGAATGTCATTGTTATCTTTGCTTTTTAAGATTTAATTTATTTATTTTTAGAGAGAAGGTAAGGGAGGGAGAAAGAGAAGGAGGGAAACATCGATGCGAGAGAGAAACACTGATTGGTTTCCTCTCATACGCACCCTGACCAGGGAGCTGGGTACCACCCAGGCATGTGCCTGGCTGGGAATCCAACTGGCGACCTTTCATTTTGTGAAACAACACCCAACCAACTAAGCCACATTTGTCAAGGTGTGATTGTCTTCTTGGTTAGGTTTTTGTAAGATTCATTTTCTAATGAAAATACATTACAATTTGTGGATTCATGGAGAATCCCTGGGTAAATGACAGTTCACAGTAGTAAGGAAAAAAGTAAGCATCTGAGAAAAGGAACGTGTCCACGAGACTGCTCCCCTGTGACAAAGCTCCACTCAGAAAGAGCATGCGTGAGCATGACTGTCGTGAGGGGTAGGCTCACCTTGGTGCATTCACCCTCTACCTCCATCACCCAGATCACCTGTATGCCCACCGTTTAGAATTTCACTTGATAAAATTTATAATGAATTATCTAGTATCAGGAAAAAGACTTTGCCAAAAAAATAAAAACTGCTTACCAAAGATTGATGTTTTTTTTCTCTCTTTTTAATGGCACATGGCAGGAGTTCTTTCCTAATGGCCTCCAGCTCCATGTCTCCTAAGAAAAACTATCCTCAGTCCATACTAGATACAACAGAATCAGGCAGCAGGGGAAGGCCTATCTGTGATCACTGCCTTGTGCCTCTTTACAGAAGCTTCTGTCAGAAGAGAGGTTTGTATCCATGGAAACGGACTCTGACGAGAAGCAGCTGCTCAATCAGGTCCTGAACGCTGTGAAAGTGACGCCGTCCCTCAACGAAGACCTGCAGGTGGAAGTGATGAAGGTCGGTTTCACGGGGCTGCCGGTCTGCAGCATTGGCAGGGGAACAAAGTCTGGTCCCCCCCACGCCCCCAGCTCCCATTGTTGTCTGGAAAATGCCCCTGCACAGTGCTCATGCTAGCTCATCCTTCGTTATTGTGGTCCCCCAGAGTAATCCTGCTTATTGAACAGAAAGGACAACTACACAAAAAGGTACAATTTCAGTACATCTGTAAGATTTTTGGCCCGATCATGCATATCAAATACTGGAGAAAGTATTGTTTGCTTTTTAAAAGAATGTATGTGGGTAGCTCTAGCTTGAGGTAAATCCAGTCATTCTGGGTATTCTGCCTGCCTGCATATATTAAAATAAAGCAGAGACCTAGTGATGTTTCAACACATGCTAAGGTTTTAGAATAGTCGGTTTAGGGGAAGGAAGACTATAATTGGGAGTCATATCAGAATCACATCTTTTGTTTCCTGTGGTCAAATTCTGTGACCCTGTTCTCCCACATTCCAGTTACCATCCCCCTTTCAGGGGTGGCATCTCTTCCTCCCCTTCCCTTTTCCCTCCCTTGAGAATCACAGGATTGGGAGCCCCTTACACTGACTCTGGAGTGTGTCATATCCTGTGCATGAAGAGTGAGTTGGGCAGAAAAGGATGGAATCCCTGCCCAGAACAGCACCTTAGTCAGAGTAACGTAGCTAGGACCAGCAGGCTGGCCTTTACTAATGCCATCTATTCGTTTCCTCTCTGGAGGAAGGTTAAGAACAGCTGATGTCACCCTGGCCAGTGTGACTCAGTTGGTTGGAGCACTGTCCCAGCTGCAGGTTCAATTCCTGGTCAGGGCACGTACCTAGCCTGCGGGTTCCCTTCCCCCCTTGTCAGGGCATGCACAAGAAGTCAGCCAGTCGATGTTCTCTCTTCCTCTCTCTCTCCTCTCTAAAAACCAATGAAAAAAATGTCCTTAGGTGAGAATTAAAAAGAAAAAAGCACAGCTGGTATCACAGAATGGTGGATTTCTTCCTGAAAGGGCAATGGAGGACTTTTGTCCTAGATAAGAGACTTCCCTTCTCTGGGCTTCATTGTCTCCACTCGAGAAAGAGAAGATGGACTTCAGTCATGACAGTTTCTTAATGCCTTGGGACCACCCTGATCCTGTTGGTGGGTAGGGTAGGGTAGTGGTTATTGAAGAGCTCAGACTCTGAAGCCGGTTTGGTTCCTCTGGTTTGAATCCTTATTCACTTCCTAGTAGATTCATTTCCTTGGACACATTCCTTAACCTCTATGGCTTGATCTTCTCATCAGAAAAATGGGGCTAATAGTAGTACCTACCCAATAGGATTGTTGTGAGGATTAAATACAGTGGCATTTGTAAGGAACTCAGCACCTCATTTGGCACAAAGCAAGTGCTTTCAAAGTGTTGCCTGTTTCCAGGACTCCTCCTTCTGCAACTGCAGCCTCCTTTTGCAGCCAGAATCTCAGGGGTGGGACTGTGACTATTCCTATACACAGTGAACATCAAGGATCCCTGAAAGGGCTGATCTTGAAGATCCATTTGTCTTTAACTCTCTTTGACCCTGGAATATACAAGTTTTCTCTGCCCTTTGACATCTGTTTGTCAGTTGTGTAATCATAGCAACTGGAGAATACCCACCTCTAGACTTGTCCCACTTCCCCACTCCCCTCGGCCAGGATTGCGAGAGAGGCAAGTCCAGCTCCCATTTTAACTGCGTTTGTGACTTCCAAGTCTAGTGTGCTGAGTCCTTCTACTAGTAAGTCTCCAAACAGTGGGTGAGCTCTGGTGTTGTACTGAGAGACACACCTCACAGATCTCCTATTATTCTGAACGTTTCCCTAGGCATACAGCTTTTTGCGGAGTACAGGAATTTGTATTAACAATTAAAATGAGAAAGTACCTGTTTTCCTAGGAGCTGTGGAGAAGCAGAATGTTTAATGGTCATGTCAACAGTAACACCTGTTTTGAAACACATACTTGCTTTAAAAAATAACAGCCCAGCAGTCCCTTCTGCTAGCTTTTCTGAAGACAGGAGTTCACACATGTTAGCTCTACTGGAACTCTTGAAAAGCCATCTTAATGGACTTTTTAATGACACCATAATAGACCATGGTGCTTGCGGTTAATGTCTAGAAAGAAATCAGACATTGCCAGGAAACAGAAAAACAACAATCTGGGTTGCCATTCTTTACGATTAGATTCCCAAAATGCTTAAGAACGTAAGGGCTTTCGTTGCATGCTATTATTTTTAACTAGTTCAACATTGGAATTGGAAAAAATATTTTTTACTTAGGTGTAGTTGATATACAATACTATATTAGTTATCTTATGTTCAGGTATACAATATAGTGATGAGACATTTCTGTACAGTGTGATCTCCCCACTAATTCTAGTACTCATCTGTCACCATGCAAACTTTCACAATATTATTGATTATATTCCCTTTCATATTTTTTACCCATTCCCTTTGCTCTGACAACCATCAGTTTAGTCTCTGCTTCTGTGGTTCTGTTTTTGTTTTGTTTTGTTCACATTTTCTTAGATTCCATGGATGAGTGACATCATCCAGGATTTGCCTTTCTCTGTCTGTCTTTTTTCATTTAGCCTAATACCCCCTGGCTCTATCCATGTTGTCACAGACAGCAAGATTTCATTCTTTTTTGTTGCTGAGTAATATTCCATTGTGTATATATACCACATCTTTATCCACTCATCTGTGGATGGACACCTAGGTTGCTTCCTTATCTTAGCTATTGTAAATAATGTGGCCGTGAACACAGGGGTGCATATATCTTTTCAAATTAGTGTTTTTATTATTTTGGAGAAATACACACAAGTTGAATTTCTGGGTCATATAATACATTTATTTTAGTTTTTTGAAGGATCTTCATACTGTTTTCCATTCTGCCTGCGCCAGTTTGCAGCCCCATGAACAGTGCATAAGGTCAAGTCACAACAAACTAGCCTTAAGCTGATTTTTTGTACTATACTTTATTTTAGACAAATATTTTTAGCCAAGAACTAAAAAATTAATGCTGAGATACCTGTACTTTAGAGTGATATGAGTATCAGCGTCAGAGGAAACTCTGGAGATGGTGGCCTGACTGCGATTGCCCACAAGTGAGTGCTCCAAGGCCTGTCCAGGTTCTGAGGTTTAGGCTACTTGTCTGGGTGTGAAGATATATCCAAAGTATAGCCTTTTTGGCTTAAAAATAACAAGTTACACCCTGTCTCTCTGCAGGAGGAATCTCTACACTTACTATAGTCCTCTGCAGAAGTGTGCCCTCCTTTGTCTTGTAATTCTGTAATACCTTTATTGTTTTAATTTTTTAATACTTATGAGCAAAATTTTGCACAGCATAGATTAATAAAGATAACTGTAGTAGGCAGAAGAGGGGTGTGAACACAGCACTGTTATTTACATGAAAATTAAGGCCCAGGTTTTCGCAGGCAGCACACGTAGGGCACTGCCCATCGGCCCATGCCCTTTGCACACTGAAATCAAGAGTTTTCGCTTCTTCTATATTATTTCCTCCATCCGTTATTAAAGTTCTAATTTGGGAGGATGTTCACAGAAAATGTTTTAATAAAGTTTCTTATTTTGCTCTTATTCACAAAGATTTTTTAAAATTCTGTAATACTTTTAATGACTCAAAAAACTCTTCCTTAAGTCCTTGTTGTACTGATATCATTACCACATTAAAATGTTTTTATCGCTTGCTCTCCAAAAAATTATATTTAAAAAAGAAAGAATTGGAGGAATCCTCAGAGGAAAGACTGGATTCCCATTACATATGAGGAGTACATTAACTTATTTTTGGTGCTTCTACATAACTCATTCCTATGATAAATTATTGAAACTAGATATTTCCTGTAAAAATCCTCCCCTTATTTTATATAAATATTTTGTAGGAAAGTAGTCCCTCCTTACCCATGGTTTCACTTTCTGTGGTTTTAGTTACCCACAGTCAACTACAGTCCAAAAATATTAAATGGAAAATTCTGGAAATAAAAAATTCATACATTTTAAATTGCATGTCACTTTAAATAGCATGATGAAATCTCTAAACATCCCACTCCATCCCTCCTGGGATGTGAATCATCCCTTTGTTCAGTAGATTCACTCGGAACACGTGCCCTGCCCATCGCTTAAGCAGCCATCGTTGTTATCTGATCAACTGTCGTGGTATCACAGTGATTGTGTTCAAGTCACCCCCATTTCAGTTAATAATGGCCCCAGAGCACAAGAGTAGTGATGCTGGCAACTCAGGTATGCCAAAGAGAAGCCAATAAGTGCCACCTTTAAGTGAAAAGGTATGCACGCACAGGAAAAAAAATAATTATATAGGGTTCAGTACTATTGTTAGTTTCAGGTATCCCCCGGGGGTCTTCAAACATGTCCCATGCAGATAAACAGGGACTACAGTGTAGAAAGCCTTTTAAAATGAGGGACAATAAACATTTTCAAATGTTGTTCTGAGTATACTATTCAGAAGAGAGAAAGCCACACTATGCAGTTTTTGTTTATTCTGTCTAACCACAGCATAGTATATTTTTTAACAAATCTTAGGTGCTATTTTTTTACAAAGCTGTATGATACATTTTACTCATCTATTACTATCTACTTGTGTTTATAAACATGAGAAATTGAACCATGTCCCACTCTCTAGAGTGGGTAGCAATTATATTAAATTCCTGGAGAAAAAAAAATATGGTTTCCTCTTTTAAAGATTTCCATAAGATTAAACAGACACCAATAATGAAACCCAAGATTCCAATGGTGGTGTTTTCATTGGAAGGCCCTGGGCTTTCCATGGGAGGGTGAAAAAAAACAAAGCTGCTTGCTTCTGGCAAATTTACTGGGAATGAAATTAGATCACTTAGTCTAGGTACTGTTCTATGTGGTTTTACTATCCAACATGATGGGGAGAGAAGGGAACTCTGGTTTATTAAAATGGCCATGGAATCCAAATAAATATTTTATAGCCTGAGCAAATAAAGTGTC